TTAAAGGGTTAGTTCACCCAAAAATGAAAATTAGCCCATGATTTACTCACCCTTAAGGCATCCTAGGTGTATATGACTTTCTTCTTTCAGACGAATCGGAGTTATATTAAAAATTGTCTTTGATCTTCCAAGCTGTTTAATGGCACTCAGCGGGTGTTGCAGTGCATCAGTGCAGTGCAACGCCGACCTCATACGTCATCCGCCTAGAACTGCTTCCATGTACAACAGTGAGCGCAAGCTAGATTAAAGTGATTATTACATTTTGAATATGGATATTTTTCTTACAAGAACGCATCGATTCGCTACAGGAGGCCTCTGTTCACCCCCTGGAGCCGTGTGAGACACTTTTTATTATGGATGGATGTGCTTTATTTCACTTCTTTTGGACTGAAGCACTGCAACACCCGCTGACTGCCATTAAACAGCTTGGAAGATCAAAGACTATTTTTAATATAACTCCGATTGGATTTATCTGAAAGAAGAAAGTCATATACACCTAGGATGCCTTGAGGGTGAGTACTTCATGGGCTAATTTTCATTTTTGGGTGAACTAACCCTTTAAGGTATTTGCCGCATTAATAGTTTATCCAAAAATGACATTTTTACTCACTTATGGGATTCCAAACCTGTAGAACACAAAAGGAGACCTTTTGAAAAGTGTTTTTGTGTGTTAATGGTGAATGTGATGACAAAATGTTCATTTTTGGCCGAACTATCCATTTAATACTAAAAGTCACTGATACATTAATCAAACAGTAATTTAGAAATGTGACATTTTACTATGCAGTAAGAAGACAGCTGAACAGTGGTTCTCCATTTAATTTATGAAGCCAATTTATTAATAATAAAAATGTATAATTTACTGTATTTAAGATTTGTATTAATTGTGTTATTTGTATTATAATTACTAAATTAATATATATAAGCCAGTGTGTGTTTAGGGAAATAAATGGAAACATTTGATAATTTAGTTGATTTTTACTGAATGTATAAATTACTTTTACTATTATTTTTATATACAAGTGTCATTAATGTAAAATACTAAATAAAGTATTCTATTTAAAGTTGTTTTTTGACAATTTAGTTTAATAATTGCAGAATCCCAGTAAAAGAGATTAATCTGAAAGGTGATTTTCATTATAAGATTTATGTGTAGGCCTATGAATATATACATATTCGCTTGTATTAAAATGACTAAATCAGTATATAATAAAAAATCATTTATATACCTAATTGAAATGCTAAAAACATCAAATATGAACCATGAATTGGTGTTGGTTTTAACTTACACAGCTTGTATTGTGTTGCAGATGGGCAGTTTGGTGCAAAAATGCAGGTACTCATTCAAAATGATGGACCTGTGACCATTCAGCTGGAGTCTCCTGCTGGCCCTACAGAACCTAAACTGGTATCCAGCTTTGATTCGCAATGAAATACATGCCTCAGCGTTATCTTCTACAGAAACTGTAAATTCGCCGACCTCATACGTCATCCGCCTAGAACTGCTTCCATGTACAACAGTGAGCGCAAGCTAGATTAAAGTGATTATTACATTTTGAATATGGATATTTTTCTTACAAGAACGCATCGATTCGCTACAGGAGGCCTCTGTTCACCCCCTGGAGCCGTGTGAGACACTTTTTATTATGGATGGATGTGCTTTATTTCACTTCTTTTGGACTGAAGCACTGCAACACCCGCTGACTGCCATTAAACAGCTTGGAAGATCAAAGACTATTTTTAATATAACTCCGATTGGATTTATCTGAAAGAAGAAAGTCATATACACCTAGGATGCCTTGAGGGTGAGTACTTCATGGGCTAATTTTCATTTTTGGGTGAACTAACCCTTTAAGGTATTTGCCGCATTAATAGTTTATCCAAAAATGACATTTTTACTCACTTATGGGATTCCAAACCTGTAGAACACAAAAGGAGACCTTTTGAAAAGTGTTTTTGTGTGTTAATGGTGAATGTGATGACAAAATGTTCATTTTTGGCCGAACTATCCATTTAATACTAAAAGTCACTGATACATTAATCAAACAGTAATTTAGAAATGTGACATTTTACTATGCAGTAAGAAGACAGCTGAACAGTGGTTCTCCATTTAATTTATGAAGCCAATTTATTAATAATAAAAATGTATAATTTACTGTATTTAAGATTTGTATTAATTGTGTTATTTGTATTATAATTACTAAATTAATATATATAAGCCAGTGTGTGTTTAGGGAAATAAATGGAAACATTTGATAATTTAGTTGATTTTTACTGAATGTATAAATTACTTTTACTATTATTTTTATATACAAGTGTCATTAATGTAAAATACTAAATAAAGTATTCTATTTAAAGTTGTTTTTTGACAATTTAGTTTAATAATTGCAGAATCCCAGTAAAAGAGATTAATCTGAAAGGTGATTTTCATTATAAGATTTATGTGTAGGCCTATGAATATATACATATTTGCTTGTATTAAAATGACTAAATCAGTATATAATAAAAAATCATTTATATACCTAATTGAAATGCTAAAAACATCAAATATGAACCATGAATTGGTGTTGGTTTTAACTTACACAGCTTGTATTGTGTTGCAGATGGGCAGTTTGGTGCAAAAATGCAGGTACTCATTCAAAATGATGGACCTGTGACCATTCAGCTGGAGTCTCCTGCTGGCCCTACAGAACCTAAACTGGTATCCAGCTTTGATTCGCAATGAAATACATGCCTCAGCGTTATCTTCTACAGAAACTGTAAATTCTGTAGTTCTGATTACAGCATGAATTGTTTTGGGACTGTATAAAACCACAAACCAGTTTGCCTCTCTTCCTTTTTTCATGCTTCAGCTGTCTAAACAAGAGAAGCAACAGCAGCGGAAAGAAAAAACACGGTCAAAAGGCCCCTCCGAGTCTAGCAGAGAGAAGGCAGCTCTGCGCTCGAAAGCGGACCCCAGCGCCAGCAGCGGAGCAGAGGGAGATGTGTCCTCTGAGCGTGAACCATAGAGTACCTCACGGTACACTTACAGCCACAGTCCAAACTGATACATTTATATAAGCTGTTTTTATTATTATTGAATTGAATCAAGCTCCAGGGGTTGCTCTTTGGAGACTGACACCAAATATCACAGTCTGCTCATTGTATTTCTTTATTTTTGTTTTATTTTTTTAGGATTTTGCAACTTGCATATCAGTCCAGTCCAGTCCAGTCCAGTGGAATGCTGCTGTCTTCAGGGACGTCTTTCAGTGCAGCTCATACCGCTGACTGTCTGTCTTATTACTGTCCCTCTCAAATGTTCACTATAGTGCCCAGTCTGATTGTCTTCTGAAACTTGGATTGTATATAAACATGAGAACAAGTGGCAGCTCCACATTTACTAGTAGAAAAAAGACTCAGGCACACATCAGTGGTAGTTTAGCACCACTTTGAACACAATATCTGAATATTTACTACGCCATCTAATTTATTTAAAAAGTATACATCTCTGTGATGTGTTTTAATAAAAACGTGCGTAATTATTACTTATTCCATAGCTGTTGAGTACTATTGTTCTTTTAACATAATGCCATCATATTTAAAGATGTTGTTTAGATCTACAAATCTGAAAGATTATTTATATATCTATTTTCTATTACTACAGAGCTAGTGCCAGTCATTAGGGACCTAGTTTGAAATTGAAATCACCGTATAATACAGTGTGACCAACAAAAGAGTAAATCATTTCATAGAATAATTGCTAAATATGGTAAATAACAAAAGGACAAAGGAGATTTTGTGAGGTAACCTGCTTTACTGCATGGCACTTTAAGTAGCAAAAAAAGCAAACGGGGATTATTCCTGAATGTGAAAAGCAGGTGTACCTGTACAATTTAATAATAAAAAAGGATTTAATAATAAAAAAGCTGCTTTGATCTCGCCGGCGTCGCAGTCACGTGGTTCATTTAGCTCTCAATAGTTCCAAACAAACCAGCGCTGTCAATACATTTGAATGGGTTTAAGCAGCATAGACGACAGCTTCACTATACAAGTATTTGCAGCAATTTTTGGTGAACAGCATTGATTATTACGAGGATGACATTTACAGTATCATTTTATTCTGAAGAGTGATGGAGAGGCAACATTAACATGTTTTTCTTGTATTTAACCCTCAGATATTCCTTACTTATAAACCTATACACCTTAACTATTTTTCAGTTAAATAAATATTCAATAATATTTACTTTATTACAATAATATTTTGAGGAGATCTTTTGTTACTAAATACTATTTGTGCAATAATTATGATCCATTAATGACCACTTAAAATATTGTTTTCTAATATTTCTATTACTATTAGTGTAGCATTTAAGGTTAAAATAGAGAAAAGGGTTTTAAATTGCAATTTGCAATGCAATGGTTTACCCACTAGGTACCTGTATGGCTCTTTAATAAATATACATGTATCTAGTCTAGTTTCTCAAAAGAGTATTGCAGGTCATTCCTGCTTACTTATTTTTAAGTTTTGCATTTGAATACATATTTATGCTGCGTTCAAGTCCTCCTGGGACGTTCGCACTTACGAGTTGACAAGTCGTAATTACGACGTCAGGTCTGTTTAGTCGGCACAAGATGGCGCTGTACCTTCTTTTAATACATTACAAGAAAATACAACAAGGGTCTGTTAACTCTGCTCACAGAAAATGAAGCGCAAAGAATTCGCATCAGGTGTGTTTTGCGTTTTTTAATATTTTTAAAAAGTAATTTATGAAGCCACTTTAATCTGTATCGCATAAAAACTTGTTATTAATTGTTATATTACAATCCTGCCATATTCAAAAAGCTAATTTTTTGTAAATAAAAAGCCTGACAATGTCACTGCTTAATGCCTATAACTATAAATATTGTGATTTATGTTTTACTTTGGCAATCTCTCTGTCTCCCTCTGTCAGAC